ATTGAGTCATTGCTTCGTTGCTTCATTGATTCATGGTTTCATTTACTCACTGATTCATTGGTTCATCAAGTCGCTGGCTCTTTGGTTCATTCACTCAGTTGTGCAATTTCTCATTCATTGATGCACCTCACAACTTCAACACTCCATTGCTTCTGCATCGCAAAAACTTTCCTATAGGCCATTGATTTCCTATAGCAATGTCCTATTTTCGAAACTTCCGCCCCGGCGCGGGCCGGGCACTACCTGGCTGTGTAGTTTGACTGTGGGACATGTCCCGGTTCAGGGCAAATTCTTTGTGCGCCCGAAAACGATAATGGGAGGTGTGCATTTTTTCCTGGTCCCGTTTTTATTTTTTCATTCCTGTCTAGTTGGAGTCATGCTGAGGAGCGTGAGATTAACAACGGCCGCTTCGCGATGTTCGCGGCTATTGGCATCATCGCCGCGGAGCTGTACACGGGAAAGGATGCCGTTGAGCAGTTCGGGCTGTAGACGTCTACGTGTTTTCCAAAATTTCGGGTGCTGGCTCCTCCTTTTGGTACAGATGAGCTGAGCGCCACCGACCATGGTATACATGATGTTGTGGCCATGATTGCTTCGGGTTTGACAGGGGAGTCACGCAAGCTGTTTGGATGATTTTTCTTTTGGGGGGTTAAATTACTAAGTTGACCGTGGCCGGTGAAACTTTTTTAGTATCTAATTTTCAGCGGCTGGAGCTTAGAATGTGAGCGTAGGAATCATTGAGGCGACAGAGCTGTCAATGAAATTTCCCAGTTGCCCGCAGCACCTGCAAACCAAATTCTAAGAACACGTTGCAAAAAATCAGCAGCAATGTTGAAGTTCAGATTTGAAGCACAGTGAAGGAACTTAAATAGCTAGGACCGGACGTGGTTTGCAAGACTTTGTGTTCAGATCCTGATATAATGGATAGACTCATAGATGATCATAGATGTATATGCAAAAATATATGCGACGCATGGGATCAGATGGCAGCTGCTAGACAAAATTCTGATTATGTTTGATCCACGTCGTTGTCCTTGCCATTTTTGTATTGTATTGCCGCAGTATTTTAACGCAGATCTATCACATTTTCAGCCCTGCGCCCCACGCCTCTGAATCACTTTTGTTGCAATGGCTCCTCGCAACACCATGTTGGCAGCTGCCGGCCTTGCCGCTGGTGGTTACGTGGCCACGCAGGCATTTGTGCCAAGTGCTTCAGGGCCTGCTGTGAGCACTGAGGCCGTAGCCAACTTGCGTGGTGCCTCAGCTGCCCCATCGCAGGGATTCGGCAGCGCACTGCCGCTGATGGGCCTCGTTGGCGTCGGAGCCGTGGCTGCCGGGCGTAGCCGGATGGCCCGACGAGCTGAGCCCGTGTCTGCTGCTGCCGCTGCCGCTGCCGCTGCTGCTGCAAAAGCAGCTGCTGCAGCCAAGGGAGCGACTGCAACCACCTCAGCTGTTGCAGGCTCTGCTGGTGTTGGCTCCTTGAAAAAGGGAGAGGAAACCGTTGCAGGCAAGGGTGGAGGAAGTTCAAGCTTTGACCCTGCTACCCAGATTGGCGCTATGGCTCCTTTGGGCTTCTTTGACCCGGCAGGGTTTTGCAAGAAGGGCGATGAGGCCGGATTCCGCAACCTTCGTGCTGCTGAAATCAAGCATGGCCGCGCCGCGATGATGGCAGCCCTTGGTGCAGTGGTGCAACACTATGTGAAGTTCCCTGGCTTTGAGTCTGTTCCAAGTGGCCTTGCTGCTTCCATCACAGCTCCAGGAAGCTATGGCTTTGTGGCACTTTTCGCTGTGGCTGGCATCCTTGAGTTGGGCGCGTGGACTGAGAGTGATGACAAGGAGCCAGGAAACTTCGGTGACCCCCTTGGCCTGAACCAGTACAACCAGGAAATGAGAGAGTCTTATCTGAAGTGAGAGATCAAGGTAGATGCTTTAAAGAAAGCGCATCCCCAGTTCAAGGTGGGTAGCGTATCAGGGTTCTTCACTGTATTTCACAACAAGCGCAGAGTCACTTCTAGCATCCTGCCCCAGATTCGGTTTGGTTTCTGGCTAGCTGGATTCATATCATGTTTAACGGCAAGCATACTGAGGAGCGTGAGATTAACAACGGCCGCTTCGCGATGTTCGCGGCTATTGGCATCATTGCCGCGGAGCTGTACACGGGAAAGGATGCCATTGAGCAGTTCGGGCTGTAAACGTCTGCGTCTTTTGCAAATTTTCAGATGCTGGCTCCTCCTTTTGGTACAGATGAGCTGAGCGCCACCGACCATGGTATACATGATGTTGTGGCCATGATTGCTTCGGGTTTGACAGGGGAGTCACGCAAGCTGTTTGGATGATTTTTCTTTTGGGGGGTTAAGTTACTAAGTTGACCGTGGCCGGTGAAACTTTTTTTAGTATCTAATTTTCAGCGGCTGGAGCCTAGAATGTGAGCGTAGGAATCATTGAGGCGACAGAGCTGTCAATGAAATTTCCCAGTTGCCCGCAGCACCTGCAAACCAAATTGATTTGCTCTAAGAACACGTTGCAAAAAATCAGCAGCAATGTTGAAGTTCAGATTTGAAGCACAGTGAAGGAACTTAAATAGCTAGGAAGTGGTTTGCAAGACTTTGTGTTCAGATCCTGATATAATGGATAGACTCATAGATGATCATAGATGTATATGCACAGTGAAGGAACTTAAATAGCTAGGACCGGACGTGGTTTGCAAGACTTTGTGTTCAGATCCTGATATAATGGATAGACTCATAGATGATCATAGATGTATACGCAAAAATATATGCGACGCATGGGATCAGATGGCAGCTGCTAGACAAATTCTGATTATGTTTGATCCACGTCGTTGTCCTTGCCATTTTTGTATTGTATTGCCGCAGTATTTTAACGCAGATCTATCACATTTTCAGCCCTGCGCCCCACGCCTCTGAATCACTTTTGTTGCAATGGCTCCTCGCAACACCATGTTGGCAGCTGCCGGCCTTGCCGCTGGTGGTTACGTGGCCACGCAGGCATTTGTGCCAAGTGCTTCAGGCCTGCTGTGAGCACTGAGGCCGTAAGCCCACTTGCGTGTTGCCTCAGGGGATCTTCCCCCCTCTCCTTTGCTTGGTTTTCTTCTTCCCTGCGTATCCGCTTTCCTCTTTCTTTTTTCCTCTGTTTATGACCTTCTTCTACTCTTTTCTTCCCCTTTCTCCTTCCTCCTCTTTCCCGTCCTCTTCTCTTGATCCCCTTTTCTTCTTTTGTGCTGCTTCTTCCGTTCTGCCGCGAGATCTTCTATCATATCGCACAAAGCAGCTGCTTGCAGCCCAGGGAGCGACGGCAACCACCTCAGCTGTTGCAGGCTCTGCTGTGTTGGCTCCTTGAAAAGGTAGAGGAAACCGTTGCAGCAAGGGTGGAGAAGTTCAAGCTTTGACCCTGCTACCCAGATTGGCGCTATGGCTCCTTTGGGCTTCTTTGACCCGGCAGGGTTTTGCAAGAAGGGCGATGAGGCCGGATTCCGCAACCTTCGTGCTGCTGAAATCAAGCATGGCCGCGCTGCGATGATGGCAGCCCTTGGTGCAGTGGTGCAACACTATGTGAAGTTCCCTGGCTTTGAGTCTGTTCCAAGTGGCCTTGCTGCTTCCATCACAGCTCCAGGAAGCTATGGCTTTGTGGCTCTTTTCGCTGTGGCTGGCATCCTTGAGTTGGGCGCGTGGACTGAGAGTGATGACAAGGAGCCAGGAAACTTCGGTGACCCCCTTGGCCTGAACCAGTACAACCAGGAAATGAGAGAGTCTTATCTGAAGTGAGAGATCAAGGTAGATGCTTTAAAGAAAGCGCATCCCCAGTTCAAGGTGGGTAGCGTATCAGGGTTCTTCACTGTATTTCACAACAAGCGCAGAGTCACTTCTAGCATCCTGCCCCAGATTCGGTTTGGTTTCTGGCTAGCTGGATTCATATCATGTTTAACGGCAAGCATACTGAGGAGCGTGAGATTAACAACGGCCGCTTCGCGATGTTCGCGGCTATTGGCATCATTGCCGCGGAGCTGTACACGGGAAAGGATGCCATTGAGCAGTTCGGGCTGTAAACGTCTGCGTCTTTTGCAAATTTTCAGATGCTGGCTCCTCCTTTTGGTACAGATGAGCTGAGCGCCACCGACCATGGTATACATGATGTTGTGGCCATGATTGCTTCGGGTTTGACAGGGGAGTCACGCAAGCTGTTTGGATGATTTTTCTTTTGGGGGGTTAAGTTACTAAGTTGACCGTGGCCGGTGAAACTTTTTTTAGTATCTAATTTTCAGCGGCTGGAGCCTAGAATGTGAGCGTAGGAATCATTGAGGCGACAGAGCTGTCAATGAAATTTCCCAGTTGCCCGCAGCACCTGCAAACCAAATTGATTTGCTCTAAGAACACGTTGCAAAAAAATCAGCAGCAATGTTGAAGTTCAGATTTGAAGCACAGTGAAGGAACTTAAATAGCTAGGAAGTGGTTTGCAAGACTTTGTGTTCAGATCCTGATATAATGGATAGACTCATAGATGATCATAGATGTATATGCACAGTGAAGGAACTTAAATAGCTAGGACCGGACGTGGTTTGCAAGACTTTGTGTTCAGATCCTGATATAATGGATAGACTCATAGATGATCATAGATGTATACGCAAAAATATATGCGACGCATGGGATCAGATGGCAGCTGCTAGACAAATTCTGATTATGTTTGATCCACGTCGTTGTCCTTGCCATTTTTGTATTGTATTGCCGCAGTATTTTAACGCAGATCTATCACATTTTCAGCCCTGCGCCCCACGCCTCTGAATCACTTTTGTTGCAATGGCTCCTCGCAACACCATGTTGGCAGCTGCCGGCCTTGCCGCTGGTGGTTACGTGGCCACGCAGGCATTTGTGCCAAGTGCTTCAGGGCCTGCTGTGAGCACTGAGGCCGTAGCCAACTTGCGTGGTGCCTCAGCTGCCCCATCGCAGGGATTCGGCAGCGCACTGCCGCTGATGGGCCTCGTTGGCGTCGGAGCCGTGGCTGCCGGGCGCAGCCGCATGGCCCGACGAGCTGAGCCCGTGTCTGCTGCTGCCGCTGCCGCTGCTGCTGCAAAAGCAGCTGCTGCAGCCAAGGGAGCGACTGCAACCACCTCAGCTGTTGCAGGCTCTGCTGGTGTTGGCTCCTTGAAAAAGGGAGAGGAAACCGTTGCAGGCAAGGGTGGAGGAAGTTCAAGCTTTGACCCTGCTACCCAGATTGGCGCTATGGCTCCTTTGGGCTTCTTTGACCCGGCAGGGTTTTGCAAGAAGGGCGATGAGGCCGGATTCCGCAACCTTCGTGCTGCTGAAATCAAGCATGGCCGCGCCGCGATGATGGCAGCCCTTGGTGCAGTGGTGCAACACTATGTGAAGTTCCCTGGCTTTGAGTCTGTTCCAAGTGGCCTTGCTGCTTCCATCACAGCTCCAGGAAGCTATGGCTTTGTGGCACTTTTCGCTGTGGCTGGCATCCTTGAGTTGGGCGCGTGGACTGAGAGTGATGACAAGGAGCCAGGAAACTTCGGTGACCCCCTTGGCCTGAACCAGTACAACCAGGAAATGAGAGAGTCTTATCTGAAGTGAGAGATCAAGGTAGATGCTTTAAAGAAAGCGCATCCCCAGTTCAAGGTGGGTAGCGTATCAGGGGTCTTCACTGTATTTCACAACAAGCGCAGAGTCACTTCTAGCATCCTGCCCCAGATTCTGTTTGGTTTCTGGCTAGCTGGATTCATAGCATGTTTAACGGCAAGCATACTGAGGAGCGTGAGATTAACAACGGCCGCTTCGCGATGTTCGCGGCTATTGGCATCATTGCCGCGGAGCTGTACACGGGAAAGGATGCCGTTGAGCAGTTCGGGCTGTAGACGTCTGCGTGTTTTGCAAATTTTCGGGTGCTGGCTCCTCCTTTTGGTACAGATGAGCTGAGAGCCACCGACCATGGTATACATGATGTTGTGGCCATGATTGCTTCGGGTTTGACAGGGGAATCACGCAAGCTGTTTGGATGATTTTTCTTTTGGGGGGTTAAGTTACTAAGTTGACCGTGGCCGGTGAAACTTTTTTTAGTATCTAATTTTCAGCGGCTGGAGCCTAGAATGTGAGCGTAGGAATCATTGAGGCGACAGAGCTGTCAATGAAATTTCCCAGTTGCCCGCAGCACCTGCAAACCAAATTGATTTGCTCTAAGAACACGTTGCAAAAAATCAGCAGCAATGTTGAAGTTCAGATTTGAAGCACAGTGAAGGAACTTAAATAGCTAGGAAGTGGTTTGCAAGACTTTGTGTTCAGATCCTGATATAATGGATAGACTCATAGATGATCATAGATGTATATGCACAGTGAAGGAACTTAAATAGCTAGGACCGGACGTGGTTTGCAAGACTTTGTGTTCAGATCCTGATATAATGGATAGACTCATAGATGATCATAGATGTATATGCAAAAATATATGCGACGCATGGGATCAGATGGCAGCTGCTAGACAAAATTCTGACTATGTTTGATCCACGTCGTTGTCCTTGCCATGTTTGTATTGTATTGCCGCAGTATTTTAACGCAGATCTATCACATTTTCAGCACTGCGCCCCACGCCTCTGAATCACTTTTGTTGCAATGGCTCCTCGCAACACCATGTTGGCAGCTGCCGGCCTTGCCGCTGGTGGTTACGTGGCCACGCAGGCATTTGTGCCAAGTGCTTCAGGGCCTGCTGTGAGCACTGAGGCCGTAGCCAATTTGCGCGGTGCCTCAGCTGCCCCATCGCAGGGATTCGGCAGCGCACTGCCGCTGATGGGCCTCGTTGGCGTCGGAGCCGTGGCTGCCGGGCGCAGCCGCATGGCCCGACGAGCTGAGCCCGTGTCTGCTGCTGCCGCTGCCGCTGCTGCTGCAAAAGCAGCTGCTGCAGCCAAGGGAGCGACTGCAACCACCTCAGCTGTTGCAGGCTCTGCTGGCGTTGGCTCCTTGAAAAAGGGAGAGGAAACCGTTGCAGGCAAGGGTGGAGGAAGTTCAAGCTTTGACCCTGCTACCCAGATTGGCGCTATGGCTCCTTTGGCTTCTTTGACCCGGCAGGGTTTTGCAAGAAGGGCGATGAGGCCGGATTCCGCAACCTTCGTGCTGCTGAAATCAAGCATGGCCGCGCCGCGATGATGGCAGCCCTTGGTGCAGTGGTGCAACACTATGTGAAGTTCCCTGGCTTTGAGTCTGTTCCAAGTGGCCTTGCTGCTTCCATCACAGCTCCAGGAAGCTATGGCTTTGTGGCACTTTTCGCTGTGGCTGGCATCCTTGAGTTGGGCGCGTGGACTGAGAGTGATGACAAGGAGCCAGGAAACTTCGGTGACCCCCTTGGCCTGAACCAGTACAACCAGGAAATGAGAGAGTCTTATCTGAAGTGAGAGATCAAGGTAGATGCTTTAAAGAAAGCGCATCCCCAGTTCAAGGTGGGTAGCGTATCAGGGTTCTTCACTGTATTTCACAACAAGCGCAGAGTCACTTCTAGCATCCTGCCCCAGATTCGGTTTGGTTTCTGGCTAGCTGGATTCATCGAAGGAAGTTTAGAAGTCAAACTTCCGACAATATGGACAGATGAAAAGCAGAGATGGGAAGAGCCAGAGAGAAGAGAAGAGTAGAAGAGAGAAGATCAGAGAAGAGAAAGGCTCAGAAGAAAGAAGATGCAGGTGCGCGAAAAGGTAGGAAAGTCGCGAAGCACTGTGTTTTTCGAATGGTTTGTGGCTCCGGAGGGTCGAAAAGTAGGCTCGCTAAAGCGGCGGGTGCGGAGCCCGCCGGGCAGATGAGAGATTAAAAATTGCACGCCGTTGTGGCACGAAGCACATTTCGAAGTCAAAATGTACAAAGCACCACATGCTCGGACCACTTTTGGAAGTTGAGATGTCGAAAAAGTGCACGCCGTTTTGGCGTGAAGAACATGTCGAAGTCAAAATGTACAAGGCACACCAGGTTCGGAGCACTTTAGAAGTTTAGATGTCGAAAAAGTTCACGCCGTTGTGGCGCGAAGCACATGTCGAAGTCAAAATGTTAAAAACACCACATGTTCGCGCCACTTTTGGAAGTTGAGATGTCGAAAAAGTGTACGCCGTTGTGGCGCGAAGCACGTTTCGAAGTCAAAATGTGAAAAGCACATGTTCGGACCACTTTTGGAGGTTCAGATGTCGTTTCGTATGGCAGGCGCAAGGGATTGTGCACTTGTCAAAAGTGAGCAAAATGTGAGGGTTTTGTAGCATTTACAACTACAACCACCACTACACCAAACTACACTCCAATACGCTACACAACAGCTACAACTACACCTTCACTACATTCCACTACACTACACTACACTCCACTCACTACACTACACTACACTGCACTGCACTGCACTGCACTGCACTACACTACGCTACACTCAATTACACTCAATTACATTCAATTACACTCAATTACATTCAATTACACACAATTACATTCATTTACACTCAACTACGCTCAATTACACTACACTACGCTACACTACACTACACTACACTACACAACGCTACACTACATTACACTACATTCCACTACACTACATTGCACTCCACTGCACTACACTGCAATACTCTACACCACGCTGCATTCCACTACACTATACACTACACACTATACACTATACACTATACACTATACACTATACACTATACACTATACACTATACACTATACACTATACACTATACACTACACTCTACTCTACACTACACTCTACTCTACTCTACACTACACTATACACTACACACTACGCACTACGCACTACACACTACACACTACACACTACACACTACACACACTACATCACACTACACTGCACTGCACTGCACTGCACTGCACTACACTACAACGCAACTACACTACACTACACTACAGCGCAACTACACTACACCACATTGCACTACACTACACTACACTCCACTGCACTACACTACACTCAATTAAACTACCCACACTACATTGCTCTACATTCCACTACACTACACTACACTAGCTACAACTACAACTACCACTACCACTACAACCACAACAATACTACATTTACACTACGCTACACTACAAAACACTAATTACACTACACTACACTCCACTACACTGCACTACACTGAATGACACTGCACCACACCTACAACTGCAGCTGCAACTGCAACTGCACTACATTGCAGTACACTACACTAATGACATTACACTACACTACGCTACATTACACTACATCACACTAACTACAACTACAACTACAACTACATAAGACTACACTACACTATACTAATTACATTACACTATGCTGCACTACACTACACTACACCCCACTCCACAACACTACACTACACCTCACTGCGCTACCCTCCACTACACTACAGCACACTACACTCAACTCACTACACTACACTACACTACCCTACACTACACTACACTACACCACGCGACACGACACGACACGACAGGACACGACACGACACTACACTACATTTCACTACACTACACTACATTACACTACACTCCACTGCGCTACACTACATTACACTACACCACACCACACCACACTACACTACACTACACTAAACTACAACTACAACTACAAGTATAACCACAACTGCAATTACAACTACAACTACAACTACAACTCCACTACACTACACTACATTACACTACACTAATTGCATTACGCTACACTGCACTACACTGCGCTCCACCACACCAGACCACATTACACTCAATTGCACTACACTACACTACCCTACCCCACATTGCATTGCATTACATTACATTACATTACATTACACTACTCTCATTACACCACCACAAATGCAACTGCAACTGCACTACACTAATTACACTACACCATAACTACAACTCCACTACACCACAACTACAGCTACAGCTGCACTGGTAAGGTGACGACTGGAACCATTCCAACCACTCCAGAACACACAACTCCAACATACTCCAACCACCTTTCGGTCAATCAGTGGATTCGCTCTGCCATCCGTGATTCACAACAACCAATCTCTCCGTTTCCTATTTTTGAAACTTCCGCCACCGCCTTGTGCGGTACTACTGGTATCATGTTTAACGGCAACCATACTGAGGAGCGTGAGATTAACAACGGCCGCTTCAATGATGTTTACCCAACTCCACGTCAACGAATCAGTTTTGCCAAAACTTTGCAAAATATGTTTGTGTCCATACTACAGGCACGGGATAAACAAAAGAAAATGATGCCTCCAGATGGAAATGAACAAGAAGAATCGATGTCCGAAGAGCATCAGGAACTCACAATCCAGCAAGTCAATCCATGTGCTTTTTCCAAGAATGAACTATTTCCAACTTACCCTTGGGAATGGGACTATGAGAACCCTGCTGATCAGAAATTTTTCAAAGGTCAAATCCCAGACAATTGGAGAAGATTTGCAGGTAATGCTGAGTGGTCTTATTCCTTAGATTTATTCCCCGCGCTTGTGTGGTACTTCCGGCAATTGGTTTGGCCTGAAACTGCTTCTGATTACGCTGTAACCTGGGCGGAAATTGCCATAGATTTCCAAGCAGCTACACACTGTGTCTTACAACGAGACACTGAACAATCCCTTACACTGGAACAGCAGGCACGATTGTTGCGAGCAGCTACCAAGAGAATCTCCCAGATATGTTCCGCAAAGGCAGTTCCTAACCTCGATACTAAAGTTTCAGTCCCTATACTAAATGCACTAGGCTTAGGACGTGCCGCGGGACTTCCACTAAGACCCCGTTTTCTACAAATTGCCCAAGTGCATAAAGTACTTTTTGCCGCAGCTATGCACCCAGATGCTAAAAAACCAGCACATAAGCGCAGCTTTGTTCCAGATCTCTCCTCCCTGCCCAAACCCCTTTGGGCAGGCCCTGGCCGTAGAAGAATGAGAGGTAAGCAAACACCAGTTGAAGATGTCTCTCTGCCCAGTCAGAAACGCAATTCAACTTCTCACAAAGCTTTAACTCAGTCAATCCAGTGGTCTCCAGATGAGCAGATGGAATTGAATGAAGCCCGTGATTGGCGCCACAGACAGCGTCTAGAAAAAAGAATATTGCACAACCGAACTGCAAAGCAGCTGGGACGTCACGTTCTTGCACCTTTCGATGAAAAAGAAGACCTAAAATGTATGGTTTGTCAAAAGACTATCGGCATCGGTAACTTGAGCCGCTTCACACGTGAAAAATGTGGAGGACAGCAAGATCTAGCTGGTGGTGTGCACTATGGTACTGCCAGAGCTAGCGTAACAGTCTCACAGAGGGCATCGTGGGCCCAGACTCACAATGAAAGCGTTTTGGCGAACCGGAGCAACTTGCATATTTTCTCAATCCCTACCAGTATTGATGATGAATTACGGTGTACTGTGTGCAATGCTACACACAACGAAAATTGGCGACGGTTTGGCAAACTGGCTCGCAAGCAGTGTCCTTTATCCACTTTGTAATTCGGATGTACTTCCTTTATGGAAACAAAAACATTGAAAGTTACCAATCTTTTCTGATGAGGAATTGTGTATTCCCATTCTCAATGAGCCTGTGTCGGTACAGGCACCTTGGGCCTCGGCCCTCTTGTCATGGCCTAGTGCCCCGTGCTCGGGTGTTAGGTCCCGCCTGCGTGGTGGACGACAGAATAAGAATAAGAATAATAACAACGGCCGCTTCGCGATGTTCGCGGCTATTGGCATCATTGCCGCGGAGCTGTGCACGGGAAAGGATGCCGTTGAGCAGTTCGGGCTGTAGACGTCTGCGTGTTTTCCAAATTTTCGGGTGCTGGCTCCTTTTTTTGGTACAGATGAGCTAAGCGCCACCGACCATGGTATACATGATGTTGTGGCCGTGGTCGGTGAAACTTTTCTTAGTATCTAATTTTCAGCGGCTGGAGCATAGAAAGGAATCATTGAGGCGACAGAGTTGTCAATGAAATTTCCCAGTTGCCCGCAGCACCTGCAAACCAAATTGATTTGCTCTAAGAACACGTTGCAAGAAAAAAACAGCGGCAATGGTGAAGTTGAAGCACAGTGAAGGAACTTAAAAAGCTAAAAAGTGGTTTGCAAGACATTGTGTTCAGATTCAGATCCGGATATAATGTATAGATGCATTAGATGTATATGCAAAAATATATGCGACGCATGGGATCAGATGGCAGCTGCTAGACAAATTCTGATTATGTTTGATCCACGTCGTTGTCCTTGCCATTTTTGTATTGTATTGCCGCAGTATTTCAACGCAGATCTGTCACATTTTCAGCCTTGCGCCCCGCGCCTCTGAATCATTTTTTTTGCAATGGCCCCTCGCAACACCATGTTGGCAGCTGCCGGCCTTTTCGCCGGTGGTTACGTGGCCACGCAGGCATTTGTGCCAAGTGCTTCAGGGCCTGTTGTGAGCACTGAAGCTGTAGCCAACTTGCGTGGTGCTTCAGCTGCCCCATCGCAGGGATTCGGCAGCGCACTGCCGCTGATGGGCCTCGTTGGCATCGGAGCCGTGGCTGCTGGACGCAGCCGCATGGCCCGAGGAGCTGAGCCCGTGTCTGCTGCTGCCGCTGCCGCTGCTGCTGCAAAAGCACTGCTGCAGCCAAGGGAGCGACTGCAACCACCTCAGCTGTTGCAGGCTCTGCTGGTGTTGGCTCCTTGAAAAAGGGAGAGGAAACCGTTGCAGGCAAGGGTGGAGGAAGCTCAAGCTTTGACCCTGCTACCCAGATTGGGGTGCAGGATCCGCAGACATCAGAGACATAATGAAATTCATGTGTGTGAATGTGGTCTTGGAGAGGAAAGTACTGTCGAACATGTCAGTTGGAGATGCAAACATTTCGATCACATTCGGCAGCCTATGCTCTTACAATTGAATCCTCATATCCAAAATTTACCAGTTGTCACTCGATATGCTGCAGTTGCTTTAAGAGACACACTCTTGACACAAGACGAAGTTATCCTTTTGCAGTCTACTCTCGTTCAAATTTGGCAATCGCATATAGAGAGGTTCTACGGAGAGGATAACGATCCACCACCGAATGACCCAGATGTCGGTGTAAGCAGTGATAATCCTGAACCGCCAAAAAATGCTAATGGTCACTCTCTTGCGTTCAAAGCCGATGGAATAGGTGTGTTTTGCCAGAAGTGTGGAAAACATGTGACGAATCTCGGTCACATCAAGCTGAAGATCACTGGTAAGCGTTGTGAGTTCGAACATGTTTCGCCTAGCCAATATGTTGACCAGCCAGGAAAACATAATAATCAGAACAGATTGCAAAAAGCTTTTCAAGACATGAACGAAAAATACAACAAAGGGAATCATGTACTCGAATGGAATTACAAAGTTGGCAAAAAGCCACCTGATGAAGGTATCCTCAATTGCACAGCCTGCGGAAGAACCTGGAAATGGAAAGACCGGGTCAACAACCTCCCTAAGACTGTTTGCAAACCAATCACTATTGACAATAATATTAGCTTGCAAAAATCAGCGTCATCCAGTGCAGTCGAGCCAGTTGTAAGGCGTAGATTGCGGGGCAAACAGACCATTTCTCAAGCTTCACCTAGTGCAAGTTCAAATCTCACTCCTGAAACTTTGCATTCTCCAAGCGTTGCAGCTACGGAATCCGTACCTCGAAAAGATCTGTTCTTCAGAACAGGTATTGGATGAATGTCACAGAAAGGAGTCTCTCAGCTTGTGCTGGGTCACTCCGACAAGTTCAAGCTTCTTTGACCCGGCAGGGTTTTGCAAGAAGGGCGATGAGGCCGGATTCCGCAACCTTCGTGCTGCTGAAATCAAGCATGGCCGCGCTGCGATGATGGCAGCCCTTGGTGCAGTGGTGCAACACTATGTGAAGTTCCCTGGCTTTGAGTCTGTTCCAAGTGGCCTTGCTGCTTCCATCACAGCTCCAGGAAGCTATGGCTTTGTGGCTCTTTTCGCTGTGGCTGGCATCCTTGAGTTGGGCGCGTGGACTGAGAGTGATGACAAGGAGCCAGGAAACTTCGGTGACCCCCTTGGCCTGAACCAGTACAACCAGGAAATGAGAGAGACTCAACTGCAGTGAGAGGGCTTGGCAAGGTTTGCTTCGGGTTCTGCTGGAAGAATTGTACGGTGTTCGGCCCTTCTGAAATGAAGCTGGTTTTGCATGGCGTGCAGTACTTGGGGGAGGCTCAGGTCCATTTTGCGCGGCAGGTACTGTGGTTCGGATGTGAGTGTATGTATCTATATATTTTTCTCCACTTGCAATGTGAGTGCCTCTACATGTCCACCCTCAATCTCCTTCTCCTTCTCCTCGTCCTCCTCCAGCTCCTCAACTGCGAGCCGCACACAGCACTGGCACTGCCGGGCTTCAACCGCGAGTGCCAGATCTAAGTGGGCACTGCCGGGCCCCGACCGCTAAGCGTCAGATCTTAGTGGCACTGCCGAACCCCAGCGAGCGCAAGATCTCAGTGAGCAGTGCCGGGCGCCAGCCAGACGCCAGAGAGAATGTCAGATAGGATGCCAGAGAATGGCAGAAGGAATGTCAGACACAATGCCAGAATGATGCTTGAAAAGATGCTTGAAAAGATTTCAGATAGAATGTCAGAATAGATGTTAGATAGAATGCCAGAAAGAATTCGGCTCCGCCGGCCCCCCACGAGTACGCTGACAAATGCGTCACGAGCGTCCCAGAGCGACTAGAGCTCTATGGTGAACACCAGTAAAAAATGAATGAAAACATACAAAAATTGAAGAAAAACATGGAAAATTCGATTGAAAAATGGCAGAAAACCACGGAACAACCGAAGAAAACCATACGGCAATTGAAGAAAGCAATGGAAAATTGAAGAATACTTTGGAAAAATGGACGCAAACCATGGAAAAATCCATGAAAATCATAGAAAAATCAATGAACACCTGGAAAAATCAATGAAAACCATGGAAAATTCGATAAGCGCCATGGGAAAAAACATGGAACCAGTGGAAAAAATGGATGAACAGTGCGGATGAGAGATTTTAGCTACAAAATGCAGCAAATGAGAAATTTTAGCTGCAAAAACCAAGGAAGGGAGCCTGGACGATCCCCCCCAAAAAATGCCCCAACAAAATGCCAACTTAATTTCGCGCCGAATATATTTTCGCATTACCTTCGAATCACCAAAAAAAATCAATTCATTTTCAAAGTATTTTCCAGTGAAAAAAACAGTTTTGAATTATTTTCGAACCTGAAAGACATTTTGCTTTTGTTTTCGCCACTACCGGTGCGATTGCCACAGTGATCTTCGCGACCCTGGCAGGATTTGTTGCAACAAGCTAAAAGTTATGTTTTGGGAACATTCCGTGACGATGGAAAACTAACCTCATACGGTTTCGACAAAATTGGTGATGAGTTTGTGATGTTTTGGGTGATGATGAAAATGATAATAAATTGAAAACGAAAATATTTTTGGATTTCCAATGTGTGGCTAGCTGAAATTGTCATAAACCTATTTCTTCGTGGCAGGGGCAAAACCGTTTCCAATTACTATTGGGCCTGTGATTCAATGTTGCTTCGGGCATCAATTTTTTTGGTATCTCGTTGTGGCACGATGTTCATTTTGATATTATCGCGCACGCAGCCCTCTCGTCAAGTTGCGCGTGTCGGATCGCTCTCGTTGGGGTGTTGCCCAAATTTAAGATATCGCTCGCACGGCCCTCCCATTTGTGCGTGATTTGAGATACCGCCCGTGCAAACCTCCCATCATTTTGCGCGTGTTGGATCGCTCTCGTTGTGGCACGGTGCTTATACTGACAACGCTCCCGGACCCTCTTGTGACATAGCGCGCGTTGGATCGCTCTCGTTGTGGCACGGTGCTTATTCTGACAACCCTAGCGCAGCCCTCCTGTGACTTTGTGCGCGTTGGATCGCTTTTGTTGTGGCGCGGTGCTCATTTGAGCTATTTCTCAGAGATCTTGGCACAGAGACCAAGATCTTGTAGAGGTCCTTGTGCGAAGATCTTGTGAAGATCCTGGTGAAGAAGACGATCTTGTGAGATTCTCTGGGAGGTCCTCGCATGCAGATCTTGAGCAAGTTCCTTGTGAGAAGGTCTTGCAGAAATTTCAGAGACCTTGGTGAAATCTTGTCAGACTTGTCAGATGTTCTGGCATGAAGATCTCGAGGGCGCCTTGTATTCGGCGTGCTTATGTGAAAGCTTGTATGTGATGTTTTCAGTATGTTCTTGTAAACATCTCATGATATCTCATAAGATTAGTTTGAAGCTTGAAGGTTCTTCTATGACAATTTTCTCAATTTCTCTTGGAGGTCTTGGCAAAAGATCTTGGCAATATTATTCAATATCTTGTAATGGTAGAGGTTCTTGTGGTCTGATGTGAGAAGATCTTGTGGAGATCCAGGTTAAATCCTGTCGCCAGTCCTTGCATGAAGATCTTGAAGATGTTCTGTGTTATATTGAGGGTGCTGGCCTGAAAGCTCTTGTGGGATGAGGTTCTTGTATATAAAAGGCTTTGTCATATCCTCTAGAAGGTCCTTGAATGTTGAATTTTTGGTCAGGAGTTCTAGTACATGTTCTCTGTTGGGGACACTTTCGGGAAATTCTTTTTGGTCTGTTGGATCCAAAGACCCCAGGGCATTGCAGCCATACTGAGGAGCGTGAGATTAACAACGGCCGCTTCGCGATGTTCGCGGCTATTGGCATCATTGCCGCGGAGCTGTACACGGGAAAGGATGCCATTGAGCAGTTTGGGCTGTAGACGTCTGCTTGTTTTTCCAAATTTTCGGGTGCTGGCTCCTCTTTTTGGTACAGATAAGCCGAGAGCTACCGGCCACATGATGTTGTGGCCAAGGCTGCTTTGGGTTTCGACAGGCGAGTCACGCAAGCTGTTTGGACGATTTTTCTTTTGGGGGGTTAAGTTACTAAGTTGACTGTGGGCGGTGAAACTTTTTCAGCGACTCATTTTAAGCGCCAGGAGCATAGAATGTGGGCGCAGGATTCAATGCAATTTCCCACTT